CTCTTTATTTCATGAATAAACAGAACGACAGTATGTTAAGTTATCTCCAAGTGCTATCCTTCATTCATGATTGAAAAAGCCGGTCTCAAATACTAACTACTTTATTTCAAGTATAACTTTAAGATGTTCGAGATAACTTGTTACAGATTCACTATTAACTTCTCTTTACATCTTTCAATATTCCGAGCCAATCGTTCAGTAAGTTTTTTTACCGTTATGAAAATTCATCCAACCATAGAACTTGTTTTTTCAACATTCAAAAAGAAGCTCTTGACTATTGTTGTTCAAGTATATTAGGATTTCCTAAATAAACGTATTCATTCATTCATTCATTCAATGATTTCAGTATCTAATAATGATAATGGAAACCCTCATCACTACGCAGGAGTTCGTATTTCCAAACTTACATATTCCTCTTCACTAGTCAACATAGTTGGCACATCACTTATTTTCATATGTTTTTCTTCTATTCTGTCATTAATTGTCGATTCTGGCACATTGTAGAAGTTCCACTGAAAGTTTTTGTAGTAGTTTCACTTGTAGTAGTGCCACTTGTAGACAGTTTTTCTTTTTGGTTTAACATCCTCGACAGCCTTAATTAAATGTATTTTGACGTAATTACCTCTTTGTGTGAAACCAATATAATCGAACATCGCGAATAGGACTTTTCCCAAGAAAAACAAAATTAGAAAAATTCGTGAAAAAAAAAATATTGATAAAGCAATTAGCAACATGTACATACAGTTTTTATTGCAATATTCCCTCTACCGTTGATTCCCCAGGGAACTTTATTTAGCACAATCAGGAGTAAATATAACAGATATTAAGAAGCACGGAGGATGGGAGTCTACAACAGTAGCTGAGGGTTACATGAATCAATCTATTTCGTATAGAAAGGCTATTGCAAGAATTAAATGTTAAAATGTCCATGTAATTGTCGACTCAACTAGTTCAAATATATTACAATGCTCTTCAACATCGCAAGGTATTAATATCAGCAGTTGTTCTAATTGTATTTTTCATATTAATGTTCATGAATAATAATAATAATGTAATTAATGTATATAATACATTTGTAACATAATTTAATTGTATCAATATCTACTTATTGTCCATAATTAAACTTCCTTGAAAATTGAATAATTATGTTTTGTTTATTGCTATTTGCTTGAAAAAAATCGTGTTTAAAATACTTTCAACACTAACACGCTACTTTTGTAAACGTCATCTTTTAATACTCTTGACAACCATTAAAAATGTCACTTTTAATGACAGTTGTACAAAAATATTTTTTGACGTGGCTTATCACACTATATGCGAAGTTGCCTGATGAACAAACATGACCTAGACCATGACCTAGATGCAGGGCTGACGCCATGGGGGGGAGCTGCTTTTTCAACTTGTGAAAAAGTTGGGAAATTTTGGGCCGTGATGATAGACATAAAATAATAAAAAAATAAAAATGAGAGAAAAGAAAGGGAGAGGTAATAAAAAAAGGGAAAGAACCAGGAGAAGGTTGGGATTTCCCAATATGCATAACTTGGAGATCCCATACTTTGAAATTCTGAGTTGTTTGAAAACTTCAAAAAAGTTCAATTTGTCCCAAGTAAGATAACAGTCCTGAACAGTCCACAAATTTTGAAGTGACAATTTTACAAAATTCACAACTTTTCGCTGTTTTTTTGACTTGGAAAAGTTGGGAAATTTCGGGCCGTGAAAATAGAAAAAATAATAGTAGAAAACAATAAGCACAATATTATTTAAGTGTTGTTTCCTTTCATTTGTATTGAATATTCCTGTATATGGTGAATGACCAAGGACCTTGGTCCAAAGTAGACTAATTCCCATTATTATTTTTATAATTACCAAAACTCATTTTTGTTTGTGCATACCCTAACAGGCATAAGCATTCAGCCAATCTTTGGATAGCTAATTAAGAAAATTATTATATTATAGAAGTAATCCCTCGGCTTTCATTTTTTCGAAAGTTGGGAAATTGTGCTGGTGGGGTTGGGAAAATTTGGATTCCCTCTCCCCCCTCCGGTATTTCTTTTCGCTACGGCCCTGCCTAGATGATAATACCTGAAGAATGATTTGGTTTTTATTTTGGGTCGAGGCCAAATTTTTACTTACGTTGAATAAAAAAAAAAAGCGTATTTTGTTGGCCATGAGCCTTAGCATAGAATCGTTTCATTCGTTATTTCATTTTTTCTAAAATTTTCGGCACCAACTTAAATAAAGAATATTTTTTTATTAACTTGAAAGAAGTGGGTTTTATTAAAAGATAATACAAAAGTTTTACATTTGTAGCAATCTAAGACTTCTAAAATGAAAACATTCTTAATCAGAAACATTATGAGGACATATTCCAGTTGCCTCATCGCTTTGGATAATGCCTACCGCATTCGTAGACAAAAAGTCAGTCATCTGTCAACAGACAGTTTTGACACAATTGTCTCTGGCCGTGAAAGATTTCTCTTTGATCAGAAGCTGAGTAATTACTTTGTTCAATGATTTACACAAAATTGTAACTCTAACTCTAGCGTATTGATAGTTGAGTCATGAAAAAAATACAACTTCGGATTTTGTTTTCGATCGATAATTTGTTCAGCGAGACTCATTATTATTATTTCTCTTCAGTTCTATTTTTTCAAATTCTTAGAATGGTACGATTGCTTCACTTTTATTAGTTTCATTCCAAAAATTGTGTTTCCATAGAAATACCCGCTTATTTATTTATATATGTTTTATGTTCAGTTGACATTTTGTTGTATTGAGTAGGTACCACTACTATGAAAATATATTGAACTCAATGTAGTTAAGAAAAACATCATCACTAAAATTAAACTTTGATCTTTATGATTACTTTAACTTATCGTAATCAGGTTTGTACAAACAAATTATAATCAGACTCTCAAAACAATAAAAATAATATTATTTATCTTCCAAGATAGTGACCTAGATCAACTCAGAACCAACTCCGACCCTAATCCATCCTAATTGGAGAAGTGACCCTACTGAATTTAAATTTTCAGCTAAAATTCAGTAGTAATCAATATGTAAATATGAAAGTTTCATCACAGTTTTATGTTGAAATTGGCCGATACTTGATAAAAATCCATTCAACACTTTATTGTGATATCTGCACTAAACGTTTGAGGAAGCTATCGTATAGCGAAACACGTGTTGCGGTTTTGTAAACTGCCCAATGAAAATCTCACGAAAAATTCTTAATTAAATACTCAACAGTTTTTAAATGGTAATATCCACCTTCCCGATTTTAACACGCGCCTCCCCATAACGGGAATTTTATATAATACCTAACGGCTAAGTGTTGTTGGGTTGCTTGTCCATGTAACAATAACATTGTTGACTGACATCTTCAGATTTTGTGTGCAGAATAAAACAAAACGCAAACTTGAAAATTGTATTTCTAACGAATAATGACAAATCAAAATAATACAAGTGTCTTCAGGAGATGGAGTAGACAGTGTACTTCATCTCCTGATGATGCCAACTTGGTTGGTGAAACGCGCGTCAAGAAAGTGTTGTAGTTCTGGTGTTTGGGAACAGTGCTTGTTTTGAATTTATAGCAGAAATTCCAGTTCTACCTTTCAAACAATCTAACGTTACTTTGTTATTTGTATTAATTTGCAAGTCCTTACAGTTCCAGAACTGTAAGAGAAATCCGATTTTCCCAGTAATATAAATTACTAATACATTAGTGACACCTAATTGATTTTAAATGAAATTAGCTACCTACCTACTTCTGAAGTGGGGATGGTGAAGTTGAAAGCGTTAAATTTATCCCTATTTCATTCAATTAGTTCATTTTCATACCTCAATTGTAGTTATTAATATATTCAAGGTTTCAGTGATGATAAGGTAGTAATACAAATAATAACCACAAAAATTTTCAAATATCTTTGAAAGATGAAATAAACGTCCTTTAGAAAGTTCCTAAAACCTTGTCCTTTTTATTCGTTTGAAAGAAAAGGTCGGTGCAGGTAGAAAGTGTATCTGAACAGTAAATCCCTAGAACTTCAAGTCTAATGAGTTTATGTATCTCTAACGGCCTTGAAATTAATAATTCACCAAGCCAAGAGAAGTGATTTATTATTAATTAGGTATAGGTATATTACTTTATTACCCTTCTTCAAAGTCTACATACGTACTTGTAACTATTTGCTTATTCTATTATCAAACATTTTTCAAACGATAACCTCTGTCTCAATAGAATGTTGTTATCGATTTCTAATAAGCATACAATTTGTAAACATCGTGCTTCATTCGTTGATACGAGCTCAACCAATTAAACTCTTTTAAAAATGCTACAGTGATGAATTGTAAACAGGTATTCCCACATCTCCAATTCACGGAGGTAAGCAGTATCTGATTTCCATTTATATTGTTTGTTATGCAGCATAAACCCCCCTCTTTCCTCCCAACCTCACCGACCGAATCCGTGCTGTTGCTAGGCGAACCGCCCAACAGAGTTTCACCGGTTTCACGTTCTCGAACAAAGAGAGTTTCACGAGTTTCATTATACCTTCCCCTCCTCGAATGGTTTTAAATGGTTTCGGCTGCGCTATAACCCATACAACCACAGCCTACTACCGTCCCTTCCCCCTCGGAGCGGAGTTAGAGCGTCCTTTGCCCCTCACAGTCGCCAAACAGTTGTTCACAGTCACTATACTGGGTTTCTGAACTGACTAGCCGTGTGTAGAAAGTTTGTGTGCTGCAGAATTTCAGTCAATTCACGTAAAATATATCGAATTATTACGCCGGGCGTACTGATTCGTTTCCTGTTTGATTGGTATATTGTGTTAGTGAGATATTTAGTGACATTTTAATCACTAAACTGAAGCAGCAGTGGTGAAATTCAAGCAAAATAGCCAGACAGTGTTGTCTGCACATTACAGTTAACAATGCTTGTGAGTATTTATGGTCGTTTCAAATCTAGCATCTTGCGCAATAGGATAACACTGTTTTTCGATATGATTTGACGCAATGTACAAGGTATCATGAATGATATTTTTTATTTACTACGTTTTTAATTAATATTTGTTTTATCTAGTATAGTACCTAATGCCTAAGTAATTTCTCACTATGCTAAAGTAGAATATAGAATGTATTAGAATGTATGTAAATGTATTGTTTGCTTGTACCCAATTATCATAACGACATGGCTATAATCATGATTAGTTTGTAGTGTGGAAGTAGATTAATCTGTCATTTTTTGTAGTTTTGATTAGGCATAGTAATTTGATTGCAATAGTTGGTTTTCAAAGACCGAATCATTTTAATTATTTTACTGGTTAGTATCGATTACTTAATTTTTTTAATAAAACCGTTGGCACACGTGAAAACCTCATTACGTATTATATATTTATACAGGGGCAATTTTAATTGAATATTAGGTATATTATTTTCAAATCACCTAGGTTTTACGTTATAAGTATTCACTTACCGACATCGCTAAATTATTAATAATCTGATCAGAATATGTTTTAAATTGAAGAAGTGTATCTTTTTGTGAACAAATGTTAATATTAAAACATTGAAAATAAAGGGAAACTAGTTGCATCAATCAAAATATATACAATTATAATTACAAAAAAAACGAAGTACCTAATGGATGTTTGAAACGAATTGTTATCAAACTATGAAAAACGATAATTGAAAATGAAAACTGCATCCACGATAATAACTTTCACTACTTATATAAATTCTATTCGTGACACGTTTCTCTACACTAATGCTTCATCAGTTGGACTGGTATACATCGAAATCTTCAATGCCTTTTATATATTGAATTATAGGTAATTACAATATGTAATTAGGTAAATGATAAATTTTTTAAGAGAGATAGTTTTCAAAAAAAACAGTTACAATACAGTATTACTTCTAGGAAAACAGATATTCTAGAAAAATGTTAATTATTGCCAAAACCTAACTCAGATAAATGATTAATTCTAGCAACACGGATAGATTTTGAGAAACAATTCAATTCTTTTAATTCAATTGTTTCTGGCATAAAATGCCAATATTAACAATTTCATAAATTATCTGTTTAATTTTATTAACTCAATTGATTTTTTCAAATTTACCTATTCATCCAGAATCAATCATTTATCTAATTGAGTTTTGTAGTTACCTACTGTTATAAAAATACATTGTAGGGTAGTTTGATGTATCTGCCCAACTGATGATGAAGCTGCCGTGTAGTGAAACGTGTCTTGAATTAAATCAATACTGTAAAAATTGTATAATTACTGTGGATACTGTCAATAATTTTCATCAAGTGATAGGTCAGTGTATTCATAATATAAACTCCATAATCAACAAGAGCCAACGCTAACTGCGTGATATACTAGGGTAGAACTGAATACTTAGAAAAATGATCGACTAGTACATGAAGCAACTGAAAAATAGGGAAAAAACAAACATATTCATCAACACAAGCCAATCGCACATCTGTAGTTTCAGTTCGAAGACTCTGCTTCTATAATAAAACTACCCGACATCGCCAAGGAGATAACTGTACCTACCGAGTGAGTATCCGAGCTCGAGCCGCAGAATTTTTCACGAGCCAAGCTCGAGCCGAGCCTCATATATTCGTGCCCGATCCGGAAGCTCTCGAGCCAAGTTTACGAGCTTTTTCAAATCATGAAAAGGTCCTGATCCCTTTTCTTCCCTTCGTAGTAGATTTATTTGAATAAACAGGTATAAGTTTCCTCAAGTATCTAAGTATAATCAGGGGGATATAAGTTCTCTTTTTGCTCTTAAGGGTTGATTTTTGCCAAACCGATATCGATATCGAAGGTAGTAAACTGAGTGTCTATCTGATGGAGAAAAATATCTTAGAGAACGGTCAAAGCAGTATTTAATAAAATAAGTAAAAAAAATTATGTTAAACGGTTTAAAAAAAAAACAGATAATAATGGTGTGGATAATGCACTGAAAACTGAAAAATAATTCGGAAGGTCTTTTGTATCGCCGCTCTTGTCGTTTATCACGGCTCTAACATAAACGCACTCTCAGTCCGCACTATGCAAAAGATACTACTACTATATTCCAAAATACTACTAAGTCAAAATGAACTATTTTCAGTTACTAGTTTTATTTGTATATATCTTCAAAGGGTTTAACAAAAACAATGGTCCAAATTTAACAAGGTTTCATGACCTTTAGAATCAACCAACTACAGGAATAATTTTTATATCCCTAAATAATTCATAATTTTATACACCGCCTTGTTGGTTGATGGCTCACGCCCTAGCCTGAACAATCGATTTTCACTTGCTATCGTCTAACCCGTATTAGGAATCACACGTTTAGATGCTTATGCCAAATTGATTATATTTGTAGAATGCATTGTAGAAATATTTCACGAATAGCACGTATGGAATTTCAATATATATATCTTTCTAACTTGAAACGGGCGTTGTTGAAAAGTTTATCCTTAGTATTATTTTCTTTTTCAGTCATACCATGCTCACTTCGAATGTAGATGCGGCGTCTGCCTCCACTGGTAAGTGAAATTATGAATTGAAAATATTTTTATTCGGAAAATAAATACTTCGAATGCAATTTTAAAAACAACTAAGTACTATCCTGACTGATATCTGATATACCCACAGAGGTCATCCGTGCTAATCCTTGTTTTTCTCTAACAGAAGGAAATCTCTGAAATTAATTGATGATAAATAATCATTCGATGCGAGTTTGTCCCTTTTGCTGGTCCCCAATTGATCTTACCAAGTTCATACCGCTAATATATAATCCACATCTCAGTATGGAACTGTTGAAGCTTTGGTTGAAGCTTCATACTCAGCTTCAACTCCATCACGTGTACAAAGCAGTGTTTCACCCGCGCCATGGACTTGAAAGACATTTCTATAAATAACTTCGTTAAGAAGTAGAGTTTTATTTGGTGAGAGTTTCAATAAACGCTCGTAGTTTGCAATGGAAAGTGGATTCTGTTTAAATTATCACGTGAGGTACTGAAAGAGGAAATAAAATTCGGAAAAAACACGGAATACCACAAGAGTATAGGGAAATAGTCACGAATCAAACGCATATGCCACTGATGTTGTCTGCCGCAGTAGCAGACGAAACTTTTGGTACTCTCGGTTCCATTTGACAATGACCTACTAGACCCAATGTTGTTCTCTTAAATCATGACTTCGGCAGTGAAAGCCTATGATCTTATATTGGCGAAGCATATTACAATCAGCTGAATATTCAATAACAACGTCATACAGTTAGATCTTCTATTGATAATTTCAACAAGATGACACTCCTCTTCATTACGTAGTACCAGTGCGACAATTCCTCGATAATACCTTTCCGGGTCGATGGATTGGAAGAAGAGGTGCTACAGAATGGACACCAGATCTCACGATTTGACTCCACTGAACTTTTTTTTATAGAAATGATTGAAATCAAATTCAACAAGATGACACTCCTCTTCATTACGTAGTACCAGTGCGACAATTCCTCGATAATACCTTTCCGTATCGATGGATTGGAAGAAGAGGTGCTACAGAATGGACACCAGATCTCACGATTTGACTCCACTGAACTTTTTTTTATAGAAATGATTGAAATCAAAAGTTCGCGAGAAGCGGCCAACTACTGTAGATAAATTACGGGAAGAAGCTACCTATTGCTGTAGGGTAAGCTAACACCTGATATTCTTCAGAATGTAAGGGAGCAAACATAATTTCATTTCTTACATTGTACCTATTCAAGTTAATGGTGCTCAATATTCGAACATTTGATAAAGTAAATTTTTCTGTTTAGTTTCACTTGAAAGAAGGATTTTTTTTTCTGATATTGATTATCGTTGTAATGTCAAAAATGTTACAGGGTTGGTTATAGAATTGAAATACCTTTCAAATACTTTTTGAAATGTTTGACCTGTGGGATTTTAGGTAGGGGTTTCTCATACAATACAGTGGTACTGTATTTATTATGTCCTCGACAGGCATGTTTGCATGCTTTGTTTCTGTGTGAAAATATTTTTGAATTTTGAAGTTGCTTCTAGCTATGATGTTTATTCAGCTTCTATTTGCAGAAAAATTGGCATTAAAATTATGGTATAACGACTCTCACATATGTTCAAAATTGCTAGAAAGTTCTAAGAATTATCTAGGGACCATCCAAAGATGTATTAAGACATGTACAGAAATTATTTCATAGACTTCGATGTCAACATCATATTTCCAAATTAGTTTTTACAAATGACAATACACCATATAACAAGTCAATGAAACTTTTCACATATAGTCAGTGGGCATACTTGAAGACTGACTATTAATCAAATCATCTAAAGGAACAATTCGTACAGGCCAATCTCAACTCCTTACACTGTAGGTTAATGGACTGACACCCATCAGAAAACAAATACTCCCCTGGCTAATACCACGAAGGGTTATGGTTTGTATCCGACAGATTTCAGTGCAGGATTCTTCACTGAAGTTATTCCTCGAGTTTTCTTTCCTTATACGAGGAATTGGGCAAATTTTGGATATGCGGTTGGTTACCTTGTTCACAGGCAGATGGGTCGATGACAAACCTGTTGTTTGTTGTCCGCTTCAGCCTAGTTCGAGGAATAATACTCTGAAGGAATTCGATTTTCAATTATCAGAAATCATCGACTTTGTGTTGATGACAGACACTACCTTGCACTGACGAGTGGCCAAACAGCCCGAAACCGGTCTGCAAGTGTGTTCCAATAATTGAAAATCTATTGCGGTAGTTGTATCGCCAACAGCATATGCAGGAATAAGTTCAGTGAACAATCCTGCACTGACACCTGTCGGATATAATAAATGCCCTTCGTGGTATTAGTCAGATGAGTAGTTGTTTTCTGATAGGTATCAGTCCATTACAGTGTAGGGAGTTGAGACTTGCCTCAACAAATTGTTCCTTCAGATGATTTTAAGTCAATGAAAATATATTCACATCAGAAGTGTAGCTGAGAAATAAATGAGGTATGTATGAGGTAAGTTAGACATTGTGTCCTTTTCAATAAAAATTAATAATTTGCAAGTAAACATGAACACGGGGAAATGTACACGTCAAATTTTCTCCGAAATGAATATTTGTCATACAAGAGCTTGGAGAAATCTTAAAAAAAAACGGTTTAAAATGTTACAAAATACACATATCTCAAAAATTGCATCCAGGTGATCCCGAAAGGCAATTAGAATTTTGTAATTGGTCAATAAGAAGACCTACTTTTTCTGGAAAATGTAATTTGGACAGATGAAAGCACTTTTACGAATTGTGGGATATTCAACCGAAATAAAGAACACAGTTGGAGCACAAACAACTTCAGGCAGTTCCGAGAAATTCGACCTCAAGTGCGATTTAGTATTAACTTGCGGGCAGAAATTTACAAAGATTTTACGTGTCTTGAGTGTCCGATCTATGTTATGCTGTGGACCGTTATTATTGTTTTATATAATTTTCATATTTTCATTTATGACAGGTCTTATATCATGTAAATGATCGAAAAGACGAATAAAGTTATTATTATTATCAAGGAGGTTGCGCACAGCGCCATCTGCCCGCGAGTAGATCAAGAAATAATGTCGATATATCAAGGAGGTGACGTACAGCGCCTTTTGCCTGCGAGTAGATCAAGCAATAATGTCGATATATCAAGGAGGTTGCGTATAGCGCCATCTGCCCGCGAATAGATCAAGCAATAATTGATGGTTGCGTATAGCGCCATCTGCCCGCGAATAGATCAAGCAATAATGTCGATAATTCTGTCAAACACAGATCCCGAGCTTGAGAGTAACAAACAAACTGACATACAAACTACCACACATACATACAGGTGAAGCTAATATAAAGCGTTTTATAAAAACAATGAGGGCAATCACGAAAAATTCTTGTCGGTATAAAATGGGCGCTGAGAGGCGAGAGGTCAGTTCTCGTGATTATTTCATTATTTACATAGTATATGGATAAAATGAAGATATTTAAATTATGCTATGATGAATTAAGGAGTCTTTTTAATAAGGAAGGTTTAAGGCGACAAGTACTGCAACCGAGTCAGAGCGTATTTCTTATGTTTCCTCGGGGTTTGTATGTTTTCTTGCAGAAAGAGTTATGGGTGGAAAGTTTTCTTTACAAATTAATGTTAAATTCAATTCCACACTCATTGCTCATTTTTTGTCNCTCTCGCAGGGTATCCGGTAAATGCAATTTTTTGTACTTTAGTGAGAGTATAAAGATAAGACAACTGCATATATAAATCATAATATATAAAAACATTTTTAGAAAAAAGTCTGATACCAGATGACTTTTCCCTATCAGAGTGAAGGGTTTTTTTGCGTATAGTAGGTAGAGAAAGGATTTTCGCACCAAAATCACCTCAGTTATAAAAAATTAACTGGCGAGATCCCACTTTCCTAAATCAAAAATGGTTATAAATAAATCGTATGTAGAAGGCAAATTAATAAACTTAACCAGAAAGCTTCACTGTATTTGAGTAAAATCAACACTAAGAGATTTATTCAACTCACCAGTATCTCTTCTCATTGAAACTTTGCCTTAAATTTTTCATAACAAAAAATAATATATAACAAACCTTCGAATATCAACGAAATCATTTTAGAGAACTGCATTGTCATACAAATTATTTCACCATTGAGTGACATATACAGTATATTAGATTTTGTTAACTTCGCTTTTTTCCTGAGGAGATACAGCTTAGTTTGACAAATATTCAGTGAGCATATATTGCCATGTCCTTAGTTCAACATTTTTTTTATGTTTTTTCTATTCGGGCACCTTAATTTCGGTGTTATTCCAGTGTTATTCGTGTTATTGGTATCCAGAAATACTTTTATTATTCCTAATTATATTTTTTGAAGTACCTGACGAAGGTTGTTTTTCTGGAGATAACAATCTACAGTGTCACACATACAGTCCGCATCAAATGGGATTTTTTTTCGTTTAACTCTTCAAGCAACTTTTGATATCTCCATTAGGTTGTGCTTTAAAAATGATGCCAAATGACATGCATATGACCGATCAAGTGATTTTTCTTCCAGTAAGTTTTCAC